TACATCCATCATATTATCCTTTGTGGGTAATGTTACAAGAGGGCAACCATATGAGTTTGTTTGTGTGTGTAGCCATTTTGGTTTGGTGTTTTAAACTGAGCCCCATTTTGTGCACGATTCGAAGTCCTTAGTGTATTATTTTCGCGACAATTACATTTCATCAAGTTTGTTTGTAATATGAAGATGAATTAAAATTGGAATTTCTTTCGGAAATTAATAAACATGTCTGCAAATTAATTTGAAAATTTTCGACCCAAAGTAATTGTCACCTTGTTGTAAATAGTTTTGACTTTGTATTAAGTAGTTGTGACCTCTTTTACAACATTTTGATTAGTTGTGACAGTTTATACATTTGATTTTTTAAACGAATGCATGTGACATTATACTTTTTTTACTTGTGAACTTGTTTCTAATGGTCGTGACTTAATTTTAGCAATTGTGACTTTGTTTTAAATAATTGAGGCTTTTATTTCTTCGTTTGTGATATTTTTTCAAATAGTTGTGCTATTGTTTTGATTGATCGTGTCTTTTTATGTAGTTGTGGTTACAATCATCCCAACCAACACGCTAACCAACCACAAAGGAAAGGAAACTTGGCGCAAATGGTCTCTCCTCCATGGCCTTTGTTCGACTTTGGTCCTAACTTTTTTCTTGGCACGGAAGTCCTCAACCTATGGTTTATGTGTGTAAATGGTCCTTTTCGATAGATTCAAAAGACTACCATGCCTTTATTTTTATTAGTTAAATAAAAAAAAATGAAAACAAAAGAAATATACAAGAAAAGACAAAAAGGAAAGAAATTAGTTGTCACGGTAATATGCTAAAAGAAGTACGGTGATTAAAATGAAATATCTTAAAAGTTTGGTGATCAGGAAAACATAAGAGTGGTTATATTGTCTTATGAGTATCTCCAAGATATTCTCAATTTTTAAAGATCGTCTTATGTACAATAGAGAACATGCATCTTTAAATTTAGAGAGTAAATTTTTTTACGTACTCCAATAATGCTCTCTATTTTGACTCTTTATTTTATTGTTTCCATTGAACATTTATTGATTTCGTCTCACACCTTACTTAACATGATTTTTTTTTTTTATGTTAATGGTCAATCAATTCAAATATGATTTAAATAATCTAAATTATAGAGTATTGAAATTTGTAACTTATTATATGCAATTATTATTAATTAAGAATGGATAATACGTTTGATCCATTCTTTATTTTAAAAAATTCAAAGAGAGAGAGTCTATTTTTAAACATTGACTCTCTAAAATAAAGAGTAGTTTGTGTTTAAAGAGTCTATTGGAGATATTCTAATATTACAAATTGTCATAAGGGTAGCATATCATGTTTGAGTTTCATTATAAGTTGCTAAAATTTTAATATTATAGAAATGAACAATGAATAAGTGAGTAGTAGTTGTGGGTTCTACGAAATGTGTTGTTAAAATTAAATTTTGATTTTAACCTTTAAACTATAAGAAACCTATAAAGAAACCCAAACAATATAGGATACTTACATTATATTGTCATATTCTTATCTCCAATCTTCTATTAATTATTACATTACAATCTTTGTCCAAATATTTTGTTATCATACTTTGAAATGAGAGATAAGAATTGTTATTAATGATTAGGTGTATTCATCTATTTCCAAGTAAATCTTATTACATCGTTACATTTTTAAATTTTAGCAGGAATCGTAATCACGGACAAGATGTGACAAATAATAAAGATTAAAGGATAAGAAAGCAAAAAAAAAAAAAAAATTGTTAATGACATAAGTACGACAATGATCAAAAGTTGAGTCCGTACCATTAAAAAAGTAGAAAATAAAAGTGTGATGATAATATAAGTACCCATATTTAAAGCAGTCAAAACACAATGTTCAAGTATTATTGAATCCCATACTTTGTGTTAAAGTAATATCAATCAAAATTATGAAAATTTGGTCAAGTCTTATGATTGGACAAAGTCGGACCTGAGGTAAGGCCCAAGAGGCCACCGCCTTTGGCCCAGCTCATTTCTACGGGTAATAATTTATTGTGGAAATTACATTTCACCCTACTTTTGGAGATCTCAATTCTAAAATCAGGTAGGATCTTTTTTCTTTCAAAAATCAGATATTTTATTTTAATTAATATTTTTATAAAATAAATATTTTTACTAAATATATATACTACAAACCCTAATTAATTCCTACATCCCTCCACCCCACCTCATTTCCTCCAAATCATTCACTCTCTACCTTCCTTCTCTCTCTCCTTCCTTACTTACCAACAGCCATGACGAGGAAGTTGTCACGGCGATCAAGCTGCTCCGGTCGACGCTATGTCACAAGAGCCCGTCGTCTCCGACGCTGCAAATCGAGTAGGAGAAGGGGTGGTGGTGCTGGTTCACAGCGGAGGCGGAGCAAATCAATTTTTTTTTCTAAATTTGATTTCTTCGCACAGATCTGTGGAATTGTGTGTGATTTGTGATGGTCGATTTGGTGTGGTTCATTGGTTGAGTAGTGGGGCAGTGTACTGTGCAGTCGGGTGGTGATTTTAATGTTCCGGCGAAGCACGCATGGCGGGGGTGGAGCGATTCAATTTTGTTTTCTTAATTTGATTTCTTCGCACAGATTGGTGGAGTTGTGTGTGATTTGTGATGGTCGATTTGGTGTGGTTCGTTGGTTGAGTAGTGGGGCAGTGTACTTTGCAGTCGGGTGGTGATTTTAATGTTCCGGCGAAGCATGCATTCCGGCGAGTTGCACGGTACGTGGTACGAATGGAGGTGTGCAGTGCGGTGGCGGTGCTGCGATGCGATGGTGGTGTTGTATTTTGGTTGTGTTGGGGATTTTGGTGGTTCTTGTTGGTAATGGGTGGTGCAGGTTCTTATATCAAGCTCTGACGACAGGAGGATCATTCACTAGGATTGGGAAACTGGTCATGTTAAACTCTCTTTTCATTCAGATCACCACAATAATGTATTACAAGCAAAGTTCATGCCTTACAATGAGGACCGAAGCATTGTTACCTACGCGTGGGCGTTGTTGGTGTAGTGGTGGCGGTGGACGGTGGTGGTGGTGGTGGTGCTGTTAGAGACAGCGTTGAACTGGTGGTTACAACTGTTGATGGTGGTCATAGATTAAACTAGCTGTGACCGCATAATGGACTATCCGTGACCTTAAAATTTGACAATTTGTGACTAAAAATTTAATTTGTGACCTGTAATTTTTTGATCTGTGACCAATAAAATAATCTGTGGCCTATAAAATTATTGATTTGTGACCTCGAAATAATCCGTGACCCCCAAAAATTTTGATATATGACTGATAAACAAATTGTGACCTATAAAATTTTTGAACTGTGACCTTGAAATAATTCGTGACCTATAAAATTTTTTATTTGTGACCTCAAAAATAATCTGTGACCAATTAATTATGTACACGTGACCATTAATTGTATAATTATGACATCATTATAGTTAATTAATTAATTAAATCATAATAAATTTTAATAAAAATCTGATCTGGTGGTTGCGTGGGTGCTGTTGGTGTAGTGGTGGCGGTGGTGGTGATGCTTTTAGAGACATCGTTGAACTGGTGGTCACAACTGTTGATGGTGGTCATAGATTAAACTAGTTGTGACCGCATAATGGACTATCCGTGACCTTAAAATTTGACAATTTATGACTAAAAATTTAATCTGTGACCTGTAATTTTTTGATCTGTGACCAATAAAATAATCTGTGGCCTATAAAATTATTGATTTGTGACCTCGAAATAATCCGTGACCCCCAAAAATTTTGATATGTGACTGATAAACAAATTGTGACCTATAAAATTTTTGAACTGTGACCTTGAAATAATTTGTGACCTATAAAATTTTTTATTTGTGACCTCAAAAATAATCTGTGACCAATTAATTATGTACACGTGACCATTAATTGTATAATTATGACATCATTATAGTTAATTAATTAATTAAATCATAATAAATTTTAATAAAAATCTGATTTTTGAAATTCTAAACTTGTTTTCTTAATTTTGAAATAAGGGATACTTATCCTCTTACTTATGAATTTTTCCCTAATTTATTTTCTTTGATTGCATATAATTCTAATATTCTATGAATCTGTGCACCATTTCTCTATCTTTGACTGACTGTATATGTGTATGCATAAATTAATTATAATTTGTATATGTAATTGATTATTAGTTTATTAATTTATTGTCTCATGATTTATGAATTTGCCTTTGGTCTATGAGGAATTAGTGGTTAGTTTATAATAGCTTTTGATTATTTGATTATAGATAGTTGACTGTCTTTGATTTATGAATTATGACTCATGAGATATTCATGAATATAGTAATACCTATTGGTTTATTCATTATTAAGTTGAAATTGATCAAAATTTATCTCCAATCAACTATGTCACATCAAAGATCGAATGTATTATCCATTTTATCCATTGAAAAAGAAATGGTTAATCAACTCGACTATCCAAAATTAATTGATATATTTGCCTCTAAAACCGCAAAACGAATTGTATTTAAGCGATCGTTTAGAACATTTTCACATTATTATTTGATTGTAATATAAATATTTTAAATATTTCATTTTATTTGTTGTTTTATTGTTGATTTTAAGTTAACAAATTTAGTTCTATAAAAAAACTCATAAATGAAAAAAAAAATGATTGCTTGCTATGATTTAGGAGTCAAAATTCCGAAGTTCGCCTTAGACCCTACAAAACATGGGTACGGCCTGGATCCGAGAACATTGAACTAAAGTTCTCAAAATTCTTAGCGACTTAATATTTTCCCCTGGCTATTGATGAACTCCAGTCCTACATCCTAATAAAATTTGCCAACGGCAAAACTAAAATAAAAATAAAGGAGCGAAATGTTAAAATCCTATATTTCTGGGCTTTTTCTGAATACAATTCAGAAAAACAAAGAGTTAGATGTTAGTAATGTATACATCCTTAACTTTCCAGTCCATCAATTGATCAAAATTATGTTTGATTCCATATAGTAAAAGTCGAAGCTCCATGACAAACAGCCATATTGTTAGGCCTAGCAGCAAGATTTGGGACACCAGTAAGAATCCAATTGTCACAAGTTGAGGCCTGCTCACGAACATTAGCAGCCTTCACTAAGCCATTTGATGATGCTTGTTGTGATTGATAACAGAAATTTCTTTCCTGAATATAAGGATCCCACGAACCCGGTCCAAACATGTTTTCGTTATCAAGTGGCTTCACTTTGTCTTGAGCTATCATGTTTCCCATTGGCGCAACAAAGTTACCCTCAGTTCCATTCCCGTGCCCTGCTCCATTGTTACTATAATTGATGGATTTCGATCCCGAGCTGTGTTCAACGGAAGAAGAATCCAGGCCCATGAGATTGTGCAACACTGAATGTTGAAAGAAATTTTGTGCATTTCCTAGTTGAAGTTGTTGAAGATCACGAAAACTTTGATTGACATCAGGATCTTGTCTTTGGTGGCTATAAGGATAAGGTGTGTTCATACGCAGTGGCTGAGCTTGCTGGAAGGCAATGGCTCGCCAGCCATGATGCGCGCTATAGCCATTTAGTCCATCTGTTAAATGCAAACTCGGGTTCTCATTGACACTCTTTTGTATTTCTAGAGCCATTTCAGCATCCTTGAGGCGCTTAGCAGCACCTCCTATTTGCAATGTGCTGCTCTCCAGTATACTTTTGACATCATATCTGCTTATTTCAAAATTAGTCACCGCGTTTAGTCCACGAAATTTGATCGCTGCAATATCATAGGCCTCTGCAGCTTCCTCCTGTGTGCCTGCAGAATCCCAAAGATTAATTAACAGCAGATTTTAGAGGCTTGAACAGAATACAAAGCTCCTAACTAAAAGGTTGAGAAGTTTGCGAGATAATAGACTTAATTACTTAAATTCAATCTTCGAAAAATTGAACTGAAATGCTTACTGAAAGTTCCCAAGTAAACATCCTTGTTCCCAGAAACCCTTCCAATCCTTGCTTGCCATCTTCCATGCTGGTGGTGTCTGTTGATCATAGTACTCTATATGAGACGTGATAATAATGGTCATAATGCATTTCAGGTCAGCTACTCCAGTCGTGCATTTCATTGAACATGCTCCAACATGAAGTTTTTTGGACAAAATCTTCATGTCAGTTTACCTTGTGACTCCTCGATAAATGGATGCACCTCGAGAGAATCCACTGCTCCTTCTGGATCAGAAACATAACCTTTTATACGATCAGTTATTATGCATTCATCCACTTCTGTTTCCTTGTCGAATTAATTTTGGAGCGGGGCAATTAATCTGTATTTACCTTCTTAGTGATGCTACATATTCCTGCCTTGTCATGTGCTTCATTTCTTCGATTTCTTTCTCGTAGTTGCTCATCTGAGAATGTTCAAGTATACACTTATATGATCAATACAAAACTGATAAACCAGAAAACGAAAACTAAGAATATACTCACGGGAAAATTTGTAGTTGTAGAAGTTCCCCAGTATTTTAGTGCTGCTAAATCATAAGATCTAGCAGCCTTTTCTTCCTGGTCATAACCTCCTGTAAAAGTAAACCAGAAGGCAGGCGAAAAATATTTAAATCAATCAAGAATTTCTTAATAAAAAGCATATATGAAAGTGGGAAAATAACGTCAAATCACCCAAATAAACTACAGTAAGATGGAACGAGCAGCCCCAAAAAAGAATTCACAAATTGAGACAAGGAAACAAGAGGTTAAAAGCAAAAAAATAATTAAACTATTTATTAATTAAATTCTTGAAATAATGGCAGACAATTTATTCATACCTTGCCTTCCTTTCCGGGCTTGTCCCTCTCTTCTATAACTGTTGTCCCATAAATGTGCCTCATATCTGCCAGTCCATCTATGCCTGCACAAACAAAAACCCTTCAGAAAGTCTGGAGTATCAGGTCACAATAAATTTGGGGTATGTTACATTATTCCTCGACCACTCTCCTTTTGGGAGGGCCGATTTTGTAAGATACTCCTCTAAACCCTCTTACTTTACCGAGCTTGAAATCAACTACGAAAAATATTTGTATATTCAACAATAAGGGAAAATTTATCTTAAAAAGACCTTGTTACACCGCGGTAGATAGATGTCCTTTGTCCAAATGTATCAATAGATTTCCTCGGCGCGGCATCTATTGCACCTGCTTGGCTATCAAGATCATTTTTAAGCTGTTGATCATTGTTACCAGATGTGGAAATCTCACCATTTACAGTAACTGGCAAATGGGAGCTTGACTGTGCGCCAGTGCTCATTGAAAGTGACCAGGTCTGCACACTCAGTGGTTGCAGCGCCTCGTCATCACCACCCTTGTTCTCAGCCGCTTGTGGTGGTGCCGGGTTATTTCTCAGCCAGTTTTTGATCATGGAGAGACCCATACTATTATTATCGCTTGTTGTTTGAGAGGTGGCCTCCGCAGCTTCGTGGTATATATAAGTATCAGTAGAAATGGTGTTATTGTGTTCTTGATCATTAGAAGTGTGCCCAGAAACCCCAAGAAAATTTTCCAGTTTTGGCTCTTCTTGATTTTCCAGGTTTTGACTGCTGCATGGAAATGAGTTCAATCCAACATCCTTCACATTCCGATCTAAAAAAAAAAAGAGAGTGAAACATCAAAATTTGGAAAAATCTTGACGCAGAACGGAAGTAAAAGATTTACCAGTTGGAAATAAGAAAACTGAAATTCTCCAAGAACGAAACTTATATGCAATCAATAATAATGCTGGAAACATTCAAAAAACCTTTAAATAGGCATTACAAGAAACTCTAAAACATAGAATAGTAAAACGTTCCAAAAATAGCTAAAATTCAAAACGGAAAATATGGAAATTAATTATTCAGAGACCTAAACGAAGGAATTTGTCTAAAATCCCGAGATCTCGGGGTGTATCCAATTTTTTGGGCCTTTTCCAATCAACCAGCCAAATTTCAGCCCATTCCGACACCGTCGCGACAAATGACAAAATTGCCCATGGCGTGGTCTTTTTTTGTTAATTTTCTGTCCATCACTTCTTCAAACTCCAAAATTAGTTGTTCTACATCAAATCTTTACTCAGACCTAAATTAGGCTTTCTAATGACGGACAAAAGACAGACAAATACTTAAAAACCCATCGAAAGACTGACCTTGCGAATGGTTGTTCCTTTGGAAATCTTGTAAAATAGAAAAAGGAGCTGGAAGGTTGAGAGAAGGAATAGTTGAGTCAGAAGTGAGATCGAAACATTCACTTGAAACTTGTGTGCCTGAGTTGAAAACTGAGTTTTGTGAGTGATCTTGAGAAGGGAAATGATCCTGAGGTGAAAGAGAGAATCCTAACCAATTATTTATTGAATTAGCCATTAATATTTCAAGATTTGTAGAGAGATTTTGGTGCTAGCTTAGTGCAGTGAATTCAAACTCTCTCACTAGCTAGTACAAGTTATACAGTTCATGCATGAAGTTTTACAGAGGAAAGACACCCAAGGAGTATGATGGAGAAGAGGAGGAGGAGGAGTGGTCGAGGAAATGAATAAAAATGAAACTTATTTCTTCTTCCAAAGAAAAATGGAGAACATACTATTACTCTCTCTCTTTGGAGATGGTGGTAAGGGAGTAGAGTTAGGTGCAATACACGAATCCCAAAAACTCGAGTTGATGAGGGGCATAATTGTCTTTTCACTCAATATGATTTTTTTTTTCTCCTTTTACATTTTCATTCCCTACAAAGAAAATAGTTTGGCCCCCTTTTTTTTTTCAAAATTCATTTTCAACTATACGTTCACTTATAAAATAATTTACACAAATCGAAAACAAAATTCATGCTACTATCGCTCTGGTTGCTGCTTTCATTCGAATTCTCCTTTAGTGGATCGAGGCATATTAGCTTGGGTTGCAAAAAATGCCTTTTCAAAATATATTTTCTTACAAAAATGGGGTTCAAACAGTTATGTTTGAGCCCCATTATTTGAAAGAATAAATTTTATAATAGTAATTTTTTGAAAATTGTGTGATTTGAAATTGGGAAAAATGTGTGGTTCAAAATGAGTTTTTGTAAAATGATAATGCTATGTAACCCGAGTGGAGTGCATCCCCAATCTAGATGGCATTAAATTATAGGCTAAATGATAGATGATATTAAATGACTTATTTAATTTCACATATCATTTAATATCATATTAACGCCACCTAGACTGGGGATGCAACCCCATGAAGATGAATATCATTGCTCTTTGTAAAATGTGGCTCAAACATGGGTGTACGAATAAACTTTCATCGCATCTAGAAAGATCTATCTCGAGTTTACTAATTTTTAATACTTCTTGTGGAGGTTTGTGACCAAATTTGGACGTATTAATAAACTTCACACAACCATGGTTCAAGCAATCGGTTACATATTATCTTTTGTTTGCACTAAAACGGGTGATATAGGTGCTTACAAACTCCTTATAGAAATTATTTTCTGGGTTGTACATGTAGTATAGCTATATTTAAAATAATATTTTTATTTAAAAAAACTACGAGTTAAGGTTCAAGATCGATGCTCAACTTGTCAATTGTTTTTCTTTAACTCAAGTTGAATAGTGCTCATCAGAATCAAAAATCAACCCTAGGGTATTGTTAATATTGTAATATCGGTAAATATGTCAAAACTCTCGAGTTTTCAATTGAAATAAATAACAATGGAGTAGAACTTATCTTGATAATTATTTAATACTTTTAGAACCCAACACAATTGGTTCTTATCGAACCTAAAACACGGAGGTGTAACCTTTGAGCATGTGGTTTCGTAATCTTAAAACAACCTTTTCATTCTCCTTTGAACGTTCAAAGATAGTCTTAGATTCTCCTAAACTTTAATTTATTCATTATTAATTTTGTATTTGTTAAGCTCTAAAATTAGGTTACAAGGATCCTACCTTTTTGTACAAGCAACCCTAATATTCGTATAATGTCTTTTATAAACATTTTATATGGAACGTCGGTATTGTAAAATTGTATAATACTTCAAGTATAAAATACTAACATATAAAGTTGGAGTTACTTCTCTAAATAAGGTTATCTTAAGATAAATATGATATTAAAATTCATTAAATTCAACAAATATTTGGATTTGTTCAAAACTCAAACGAGACCATGCTAAGGGTAAAATTACATATCCATTATGTATAAAAACATTAATAGATATATAAAAAATTTGAATTATCTCTATAATAAGATTGATAGTTTAAGATGGAATCAAACCTACTCTATCTCCCACCTATCCCATCCTAAGCACTCATATATTGATTCAAGTTGTTATTACGAAAAAGCGAGAATAAGCAATGAAAAAAATAAGAACAAAGAAATACACATATTTACATGAAAATCCTAGACGAAAAAAAAATCACTGAAAGCGGAGCAGAAAATCCACTCCATCAAATATGAACACTCTTAAAAACATAATGAAAAAATATGTCGCACTGCGAACTTTTTGAATCGAATCGAACGGAATTCGGATCATTATACTCAACACATGCCTAGTTGGACAAAATTGAATTGATATATGAGTAACAGAAAATCATCTGCCGATTCTGGGGGAATTAAAGAGTAAAGCCGTGGCAAACCATTGGTAATAAGTAGAAAAAAATGCATTCTTTGTGTCAAATCACACTTTTTTTGTGGTTGAAAATGAAGGAAAAATTATTGATGTGATGGAAAATATTATTTTATTATAAATGTGTGGTTGAAAATTAGTAGAAGAATGAGAATGAAAAAAAGAATGAATACCAAACAAAGGCTTCATTCATATTTCCGATACGCTGTTTCTCTTACCCAGAATCTCCTGCGACTCAGGCAGCCTTCATCATCACCCATAACTTTATCACATTCCCATCAGTCCATATCACATCAAATCAAATTATTCTACCATATATTATCCTAATCATCAAACTTGTCCCCCGCAACAAAGGGGGACTCTACCTCTCTTTCTACTGCACATAACAATAATTCATGCATGCACTACACCGTCTTTTACTATAAAAATGTTCATGGTAGAAGGAGAATCCTTCATGGGTCGAAATTTAGGTGTTTAGTTGAATTTTTTTTAAAAATAAATACATTTATTTGTTTGTATAGTTTAAAATTTTAGACGAGTTTTAAGATCAATTTTGTTATCGGGACATGTACTACGGTTTTAAAAAGTTAAAGACGTGATAACAGTACTTGTTATGTTGAAGACACGACGTACAATATTCTGAAGACTGGTGGAATTTATCATTAAATTATTCACATAACATACTGAACATGTGATGGTAATATTTGCACCATTTCCAATAAGAAAATAATAGTCAAAATTGTCTTTGTAATTCATACCGAATAAAATTAAGAAATTCTATTATTTCTATCAACATTCGTGTCCCTGTACATATTCCATAAAAAAAGCATCTGCTTTTTGCATCTGCAATCAATTATGACGCAAGCGGTGGCAACGAGCCGAGCCGAGCCGAGCCCGAGCCGGGAAAAAAAAGCTCGAGCCGAGCCCGAGCTTTTTTGGACCGAGCTTTTTTCGGCCCGAGCCGAGCCGAGCCGGGCCCGGCCAAAAAAAATGAGGCTCGGCCCGAGCTTTAGGCTCGAGCCTTAGCGGGCCGAGCCGAGCCCGGGCCGAGCCGGCTCGGGTTTTTTTTTCTTTTTTTTTTTT